ATTTCAGAGTCAGAACTATTTTACAAAAATAGTAGCAAATAAGGATTATAGAAACTCAATAAATATATTCAGGATTTATGAATCCTCAATTGGAAGTAACACTAAATCATATTTTGAAATTGAATTACTTTTAATTAAGAATTAATAAATAATTATAACCCAATTTTAGGATGACGATAAATTTAACATTATTGAATAATAGTTGAATTATAATTTTGTAATTATAAACATACACAAATATATACATAATACTAGGTATTATTTATTTCCTTCTTTTTAAATCTTTTTTTTATATAGATAATTATACAATTAATAGAATATTGAACAAGTTAATTCATGAAAAACTAATGCACGTTACCACTATCAACTAACAATTTTGGAAATATATAACAATACCAATTATTTATACCTAATTTAAAAGTATTGTTAACAGTTGCTTTTGAATGTGGATTGAGGTTCATATAGAGTTTAAGTTAATCAGTAATTAAGAGTATTTTTTGGTTATTAGGGAAGATATAATTATCTCCTTAAATCTTCATCCTTTCAATAATATCCTACTTCTTGATGATTAAAATATCTTTTAATTCTTTTAAAATATCTAATACTTTTGATATGAATTAATAAATAAAAATAAATGGTTATCGATACATTACTTTGAATAAAGTGCTTTTGAAAAATCATTCAATCTCTTTTTTTTACTTTTTTTTATAGTTTAGATTAATTCTAGAATTAACTTTTAATTATCGATGCATCTTTTTTATCATCTTTGCTATAAAATAAATCTTTTACTATTTAAACTAAATTTTTTTAAACTATTAATTTTTTTTATAAATAATAATAAAGTAAATCTTTCATATTATCTTAGATGATTTAAAGAGAATGAAGTTTTGTTACATTACTTTTTTAAGTAATCATTTCAAACATTATTTTAGTCTCTTCATTTTACTCACTGTTCTCTGTAAACACTTTGTAAAGTATTTATTAAATGTAGTATAAATATTAATTGAAAACAGTTTTTAAGACATATCAATAAATATTCCCTACAATAGATTGACCATATATTTTAATAATATAAAAATAAATGAGATGTATATTTAACTGAAATGGAAGAAAAACTTTGGAATAACATATACCTTTCTACTATAAGAAGTGAAGATGAAGAGAGAATCTGGTGAAGAGGTAATTTTAAAATATTGGATATTGATTATAATTATAATTGTAATATTGTTAATGAAGAATAAATTTCACATTTGTTTAAAATCTTCTAAGAAGCAACTTCCTTTAGATTTAAATAATTATCTAAGATTGTATCCCCCGTAATTTACAAAACCTCCTTTTAATAATAAAGCTCCTTATGCTTAAAATAATGGAATTTGAGATATTCTTAGAACTGTAATACTGTTCGATACTAAATAATTATAATGATAGAAATACATAACAGAGGATTGTTTTAAAATAGCGGTGTTTGAAATTAAGCAAGAATATCCTTATAAGTTTTGTAAGCAGGTAAAATTTCTTTTCCATTCTTAACATCCCATAGTCTAATAGATTTATCACCACTACCAGAAGCTAATATATTTCCATCAGAAGATAAACAGACTGATAAGATCCAACCACTATGGTCATCTAATTTGTTTAATTCATGTATTTTTAGGTTCTTCCATTTACAATTTGAATAGTTCAGCTCCATTTAAATAGACTCCATTATCAAATTCAGATCCACTCAGGTTCCATCTAACAAATTACCACCAATTAAAGATGTATATTCTATTCTTTAAGAAAATAATGTTCAAATAAACAGAAAATATCTATAAAAAGGGATAGAAGGAAAATTAATGTTTTGTAAGAGAATTCAATAATATTAATATTGCTTTTTATAATCATAATACTAAACATTTTAAGACTTGAATAGATTATTGAAAGATGGTTCAAATTTCATATTTATTAATTTGGAATTTCATGAGGATTAAAAACTATTGTTGGTTAGATTGGTCTTTATTAGTAATAGATAACTTCGAGAAAAGGGAATTGAAAATTTTGCTAATTTTGGCAGATAAATTTATAGTAGAATTTTGCAATTTAATAATGTTATATATATATTATAAATATTTTGGCATCTGTATACTATAATTGTCTAATCTGCAGAACAAAGAAAAGCACTTGCAATCCAATTATTGTAATATGTTAAAGAGATTTTATAAAAGATTATTTATGATGAAAAGGACTGGTATGAAGAAGGTGATTTACTTTTGTCTTTGTAATAGGAATAATTAAAATAAAAAAGTAGTCAGGCAATAAATCTCTTGCATATATCAATCGGTACTAATTTTAAATAATTTAGGGAAATAATTGAGCTTAAACACAAAAAAATAATTAAAAAAATCATATTTAGTAGAGATTTAAGATATAAATATTTATATTTAAAGTTCAGATCCATTACGATTCTTTAAGAAGAGGCTCAAAAATGCTTCTAAACCAATTTGATATCAATTCATCATTAATTTGATTGATGATTAAATGAATTTCTTAGATTAATTATGAGCTCGGTTGCGAATTAACTAACATTCTTTTAATCCATTAAAACATATGTTCAATAGCGTTAAACTCAGACCTATATATTGGAGGAAAAATGCAATGGATATTGTTATTTATTTCCTTTACTAAAGAAGATTTATGTGTGCTACAATTATCTAAAATCAAAACAATTGGTATATCCTTATATAGTCAAAATCTATATAAAAATCAATTGTTAGCTTAAAAATATTATTAAAATGTTGAGATTATAGAAATCTTTCACTTTTAAAAAGATTTTTTCAAACAATTTCTTTGTTTTGAATCATTTTTTAATTTCCAAATCGATCCTTTAAAAGCAATCAGATGTTTTAAATAGATATTTCATATATTCTTTGTAATCATTAATTTAGACATTTTATTTTTTTAATTACGATTAACATTATATTAATACATATAATATTTGCTGTGTGTTTTATTCTTAACTATTATTGCCTTTTTTGCCTATCAACAGATACTTTTTGAGATATAAATAACTTATATTTAATATTAATAATTTTTTTCCAATATTTAAGTATTGATAAATCATTCTCTAATCAATTCTTCTTAAAAATTGAAATTAATTTTGTCCTTGGTTTTGTTAATAGATTGCTTTCAATTCTTACAATTATGTATCTAAAAGTTATCATTTACCTATCATATTTTTTTGGTTCATTTTATCTTCTTCTAATTATTTTTTCAATTTATTCATCTAGTCTTTCAAATTTTATATTCTTTTTTCTAATCTTTAATTAAGAGAGGTTTAAAAAAATCTTAATCTTTTAGTTCTAAATAAGGATGCATTTAACTCTTTTAATTTTCTATAAGTTAAATAATTTTAAAACTAAATATCTTATTGAGACATTCCTGTGAGGAGATTCTAAGAAGGCTCTTAAAATATCGATGATTAAGAGAAATACTATAAAGAAAGTTGATTAACCATTCTCGATTTGGGATTTTTGGATGTTAATCCCAAATCTTGTTCTTATCCCAATATTTGACTTAGCTCTCTGTATAAGCCAATTTTCGTAGCGTTTCTTCTCAAATAAGCAATTTTAATATCAGCTTATTTCTATGAGAAAAACTCTTTCAAAGCTACTCCAAGAAGATAATCACTTGTTACACATGGTGAATTAATCTAAGGCAAATAATACCCTTTTAACGTCAATCCTGTATACATTGATTTCAGTGATCCAACTATTCTATTCGCTTTTTAAATTGTCAATTTCTAAAACTAATATATAATAAAAATAATATAGCCATTTAGATAAACGCTATTATTTATTTTTTGATGTAAAATACATTATTACTTGTATCCATTTGCAGTGATTATTTTTTCTTTCAACAATGTTTTTTGAAGTTCATAAATATTATTGCAATTAAAATTAAGGGTATTACATCATCAATTACATAATGTATTTTATATCAACTTTTAAAGTTTGAAATCAAAAAATAAATTGTTTATTCTAAATTATTCTATGTAGAATAAATAAAATGTTTAAATCCAACTTTAAAGCAGAAGAATATTAACATCATTATTCTAATAAATGATGTTAATTCTAATAATTGTTAGTCCTCCCATTATCAAGATCTCCAAGAATCCAATAGCCTTGAGAATTAAAATGAAGATTTGTTTGGAGCGCGATAATATTAAATTTAGAGCAAAGTCGATAACCAATTATTTACCATCAAAAATGCAACTTTCTATGAAATTAATATACCTTATATGATAATATATGTTTAAGTTCAATAAAAAAATTAATTACCTTAAGTAACTAAGTTAAATTGTTAACAGGCATAAAACTTGAATAATTAGAAAGTTGAATCCAACTTTTCTAACAAAACAAAGAAATTAAGGAAAAAAAACTGAGATTTTGATTTAATATTGCTTGATAAATTAAAATGCTTGTCTAATCAGAAAACTGATTTACAAAATAGTACATCTCTATTTTGACAGGATTATGGAATAACTAAATTTATTATAGAGAATTATAAAAAAAAGAATCAAAAATTTAGAAAATTAGTCGCGCTTTAGAAATCTATTAATGTAATAGGGGGAATAGGTTAAAATGGCTTTTAGATGTTTTATGTGTGAATAGGAAATGTAAATTAATTTGTTTTTGGGCAATTTATAGATAAGCTAATCACAAGTGCAACTGAATTTTACAATAATTAACAATTCCTTATTATTCATGACAACTGTCCAACTCATTAAAGTCAGATGATAAAATAGAGATATTTAGATAATATTAATACTTATTTTTAGCTCCTTATACTCCAGAAGTAAATCCTATTGAAAAAATTTGGAAATTGTTAAAAGAGTAGATTTATAAAACTTAGTCTTGTGATAAAATTTAACTATTAAGAGCAATTCATGTAGTTTTAAAAAAGAATATTTGCAGTCGCTTAATGACAAATACATAGACACAAATAAAAAGATGTTTCAATAATGATAATGTAAATAAATGAAAATTAATAAAATGGGTATTAAACCATAAACTAAATTTTAGTGGCTGAGTTTAGAACTTCAATTAAAAAGTTTTGAAAAATATAACTCTTCCCTGTACCAGAAAATAAGTAATAATATAATTAGCCATCTTCACCTAATGATCCAATTAAATATTTAGAGTTAGAAATTCTTTATGTCGTTTCTTTAAATGTTCCTATAAGATGCCATTGTTTCATATCCACAAATCAAAGATATAAAATTCTTCATCACTTCTCTTTTTTCATCCTTGTTAATGAACTGGAAAGGGAAAGAGAAGGAATTCTATATCGTATATTTAATGTTAATATAATCTTTCGAAATTGAGATATAGATACATTTTGATTAGGAAATTGTTCTTTGAAAGCAAATAGGAATGATTTAGCATTAAAGAGAATCCGATTTGACTAAAATGATGCTTGTTATAGCAACCATTCTTATTAAAACCTTGTAATCCTTAATTATTCTTTTATTTTATTGGACATTTTATCTCAAAATGGTAGCTATCGCATTTGTTTTAAACATTTGTTTTTCAGCTCTAGGCAATTTTGTATGCTCTTCTTCTTTTCAATTTTTTAATTTTCTTCATCTTTTATTTTATTATCTTTGATTTCTGAATTGAATTCAACTAATTTTAATACAAATGATTTGCTATCCTTCAATGACATTAGTTAAACTTTAGCAAATTATAAATTGAATCTCTTAAGGAACTGAAATCCATTTTGTAAAGTTTAATCAAAATTAATTGCATTGTTAATGCCTATTCAACATTGGCGACATTCATAGGTTATTTACTCTTCAAATTATTGTTCTTTGTTAAAAAATCCCTTGACAACCCCACAAATTAAAATTTTTAGCTTCTCTAGGCATATTTTTTTTAAACATTAATCAATGCACTAAAACTTATTTAAATTGAACTTTTATGATTATGTAAAATATTTCTTAAGAGGAAGTTGAATCTTCGAAGATTTCTAAATCCGATGCAAATCAATTGATACACTCTTTGAAGTCAGCCTATTATGGCTTGCTACTTTAAGGAAAGTATTTGCCAAAACTTACTTCATCAATTATTTCATCAGATTATTAGGTTCTATTTGATAAAATATACGTTCCAAATTTGAATTAAGTATAGATTGGAGTCCTGCTTAAGTCAGTGAAAAAATATGAAATTATTGAGGAATTGCTATATTAAAATTGCTGGGAATTGATTAGAAACATTTACCAGACAAAGACCGGATTACAAATGTGATAAAAACACTGTAACCAAATCATGAATTTTTCTAAATATACAAATAAAGTACAAAATATGACATGAAACCTTTACTCAAGAATAAATTAAGTAATATATTTCAAATCATGCCTTAGTAAAATTAAAGAATTAGATAAGTTGATGGGAAAAAAACAAATGAAAGAGATTCTTTAGTGTCTAAAGAGAAATAATTAGAAGCAGAAACTCAAAAAAAGAACTTAAAAAAAAAAAAGCCTTAGAAGAGAAAATAGCTGACATTTTGTTTAGCTTTATTTTAAATATCATCTATAGATTTTATCATTTATAATCTTGAAATGAATTCAAAATATCATTTTTTATATTTTCTTTCTTCATAATCCTTTTCATGTAATTAAATATGATCTAATGAGTCTTAGTTAATGTTTGACAAAATAATTATGCCAATACTTGAGAATCTTATTAACTCAAAATAATAATTTATAAAAATTTAGACATATGCAACCCCTCATTTAAAGCTCCAACATTTATAATGGATTCAACCATATTCTAAATTTATTAAATATTTTTCTATGGTTTATTTCTAATTTATGCTTATCTATTTTTGTTATTATCTGGTATTTATATTATATCAGCAGATTAAAAGTAACAAAAGAAGACATTAAATAATGAAGGAAAAGAAACTTCCTTCTCCTACCTATTTTCAAAGAAAGCATTTTTTTGTTATTACTTTTATGCTTTGTTGTTAAATTAACTTTAGATTTTTTGTCGAAATAATAAAATCCTAATATCATTCCTTCAATTAAAAAGATAAGGGATATTAAAAGTCACTTAATAACAATAAAATAAGATCTTAAAATCTAAATAGAATTATTAAGTGAAGAGGTTAAACAATTTATTAGGGGCTTTTTCCTTTTTCTACTATTAAATTCAATTAAAAAATAGATAAATCCATATTAAGCATTATTATTTATGGATTTATAAGTTTTGTTTTATAATACATCTACAAATCTTAATTAAGGAAGGCAACTCAATGTTAAATCTAACTCAAATAGAATTAGCACAAGCAATTCAACTCTAATATACCTTTGTTCTAGTGATATTCTAATAAACCGTTAACAATATAGTATTGACTTTTTAGCAATAATAATATTTAGGTTTAATTGCTTTTTTTTTTGATTAAAATTTTTCGCTTGGTATTGCTACTTATTTGATAGCCTTTTATTTACAATATAAAAGTATCTGTTGCTTTTATGAGCAGATTAAGTGCTGAAACATTGTCATGTTTATATTTTTCACATATAAAAAATTACACTATTGATAAATCTGAAATTAAATTTTTCTATTGAAAATAATGATATATTCTTTTTATATCGTTTTCTTTTAAGAAAGGAGATCATAAATAATGGATTGGAAATTTTTAAAATATAGATTTAAACCTAGAATAAATCCAAATAAACTGTTATACCTGTCTAATTCAATTCTCTTGCAATTGAAAAAGTCAAATAATTGTTTTCTTTCTTATTGTTAATATTCTGAATAAAAATTTACTTATTTTTGGATGAATTATTATTAGGAAATAATTTCTCTTATAGTTGAAAGATGATCATAAGAGATGAGATATTAATTTAAATTTTCTTCAATTTGAAATTACTTCTTTTGAGCAAATCAAACAAAAATAAGAATATTGGGAAATAGATTTGAAAAAGGATTGCTTTAATTTCTACAAACGTGTAGACATCTTAAAAATTAATATTCATAAATTGAATAAATAAAAAGATGAAAATAAAAAAAAATATTTATCATCGAATATTGATATCAATACCTTGTCTTATCAATTGATGGAAGATTGAATATTTATATTAAATTTTGGAAGAAAATTATAAACAAATATACGTGTTTCTGTGTTAATTATTATAAATCGAAAAACTAACATAAGTTTAAATCTATATAAAGCTTAATTAGGAAATGAAATGTATAAATTTTAAAACAACCTAGTTGTATATTTAAGAAAATTAATAGAATGATGTTATTGATTTTAATTAACTGAAACAAAATTAAATGATCAAGTAGTATACAAATCAACAGAATTGATTTTGAATTTTAAAGATGATAATGATTATTATTGATAAAATTTATGCATAATGGTTTATTATTGTCTGTTAAAAGATGACAACGTTTTTTGATATCATCAATTTGTAAAATCTGATCTGCTTGTTATTTTTCCATTTAACATATATATTAGCTAATATCAGGTATAAAGTTCTAAAGTAACGTGGAAGATTAAATAGATGAAATTCAAGTGCATAGCACAAAAAATAACAAATTTTATATTCTTTCGATTATATAATATATATGTTTTATATTGAGTCAATAAAATATGCCTATTTTACTGACACAATATATTTCA